ACCGCACGCGCCATCCCCCTTCATCCGAAGGCTCGTGTTAACGGGGCAGGTGGCAGATCTCAATTCTATTCTGGAATTACTTTGAGGTAAGAGTTACAAATACTTCCCAGAAGTTGGTTTGTTCCATCAAGCTACTATGCGTTTTTAACGACACAATGTCTTGGTCCTCATAATTTTGGCCCACCCTGTATTCTGAGGACGTGAGGGCAAAGGAGGCCTACCTCAACTTAATGGGGAACAACTGGGGAATAAGTGTTATAAAACTTCCATCAAAAGCGATAATTTAGGCGGGGAAAAACTTCCAACGAGCGCCATGAGCGACTTATCTTTTTTGGCTTCCTTCTTCTGTACTTCTATTTATTCTAACACTGGCGTTTGCTGTCAGAGCAGCGCAAGAGGGTAATGGATCGAGAACCGAGCATGATTCCAACTAACAACTTACGAAATTCTTCTGTGAAGCTCTCTAGGCCTTGATGAGATCATTTTGAAGCTATTAGTATTCTAAGTGAATCCTGTACCGCATAGTTGAATGTCAATTCGTTGCTAAGACGTGTGTCTAAGTGCTATTGAGTATTCCCTCCAAAAAATGTGAGATGATCATGCATAAGGTGGGAGATGGCAGACTCGTATAAAAGCGGCTAGTCACAGGATGGGTGACGAATTCGTTTTCTTTCAGCACATCAAAAATAATCATCGCTTTTGCCGCCCCCTTGGAAGAAAGCTCGCTTTCTGCATGTATTAGAGATGTGCAGAAAACGCTGGTCCAGTTTCCATGAAATAATACTGGCAAATTTCAAAATACTTATTTCAGGATGAAAATAATCCTCGTCTTGCTCCTAATCGCTGGAGTTGCGGCCACATCAAGATATGACGTACGACTGAACTACTACCATGCCCCATTTCTGGCGAACACTACCAAGGAAAGTCGAGATGAATATAAAGCAATAATCACCAACAGCAAGCTCTCAGAGGTCCAAGAGCAGGAGAAAATTGCGGCATGGGCGAAAAAGTATAAACGCACGGTAGGTCCACTGAAAATGGTCGTGCTTTTAAGATTTCTGGGCAAAAAAATTCGGTTTTCCAGGATGAATTGAAGAAATTCAATGCAAAATTGGATGAAAGTATGAAACTGCTAAACGAGAACGGTCCCCAAATTGATTGCAGTCTTGCCAGCCACTTATAAGGATTACAAGAAAATCATAGAAAGAAAAGATAAACCTCAAACGGATATCTGGAATGAGCTGAAGATATTGCGGGCCAAAGATCCAAAGGCTAGTCTGGCTATTGTTTTGTGCTTCTGAATTTCTATTTATTTATCTATTTTGATGCTCCGCCTAAGAAAAGTGATAATAACATGCTCCTGTGTAGGCGTACCATGTGATGAAATTTATTATATGGCAATATAAGATACAATACTCGCCGATACATCGCCTGCACCTACGGAGATGGCGGTTGCGTCGCAGATATCGCGGAATTCGCAGGATCTTCTTGAGAAGAAAAACAAAGTCAGGTAGGACCCTTGAACTATTGGTATGTAATAGATCACCAAGATGATCGCCGCCTATCAATCATGATATGAGCGCTGATATGAGTGGGCGCAAGCAGCGATATCGGTCGAAGGATCTAGACAGGGCGGATCCTATCGTGAGAGTTCATAAAGTCAGTGGCATCGTGGTGCAGAGCGGCAGTCGGGGCTGGGGAAGCGCGGCAGAAACGAAGGGGGGAGGAAAAGGGCCGGGCGCTCCGACCCAAGATTTCCCCGGACGATCGCGTGGTAAGCGTGCCACTTGCCACTGCACCACTTCCGCCCGTCAAGGTGAGAAAACATGATATAAAATATTCTTTGCAGTTTCAGTGGCTCCAGTCCTGTACTTTATGAGTGGGACGCACTTGAAAGCAATACAAAGAATGAGTCGTAAGGGATGGGGCCCTATGCACACGCGCTGCAAAAGCACCTTCCATATCCGCTCGCTCCTCCCTTAAAGGCAACAGTCCACGGGGTGGGCGTGGTTGGAGACGACGGCAATCCCCTCGGCCGATTACGACTTAGCTTACTTTAGCTCCCTTCCTAGCGGTTTCCCAAGTTGTGTTTTTGTTCACTAACACTTCTTATGTTCATGGCTGGGGCTGTATAGCTCTCAAAAAGGAAATCGGCCGAGGGGATTGCCGTCGTCTCTGCCTGGACTGCATGACTTAATTGACCTTCGTTGATGAATAACAATGGTTGGTGGGATGTGCTTTGCAACGAAATGACAACCATTGAAGGAAGGCCCTGGAAATAAAGTGTTACTCAGGTGTATAAGAGTTATGAAGGATGTGTTTACCGGGCTTCAGTCAACTGGTCATTGATCATATACACCTTTCATGGATTCCTTGCACGGTTGACTAGTCATATGCATGGCCTATACCCAGACAAAATCGGATAATGGCGATTGCCCCTTTTCTTATTGCTTATGTTGGAAGAAGGTGTTCTAGACATATGTCGAGCGTTGCCAACGAATTGCACTCAATGGTGTAGAAGGGAGCGGATTTTTAGCAGAACCGAGTATATCCCGATAATCTCGATGCAAAACTATCGCTCAACATAGAAGTTGTATTAGAAGGAAGCAAGGCATCGGTTAGAAGGCGAACCTTCCGCTTTTCGCCAACTTGAATTTTTAAGGTCTTTAAATTAGAGAGAGTATTGCCAGTTGAGTGGCAAAAACTAGCCCAGATTCAGTATCTCGACGCTGCTCGGCAAATTTTGAGACCACCTCTTCGAGGTGTGTAGCTTTTAGATCATTTTTCAATTTCAATCGTGCCCGATAGACAAAATCCAGCTCTATCTAACCTACCACGCACATACTGCTCGAAAAGGTTATGAAATGTGGGAATGGAACCTTTTCATCGAGAGTGTAGATTTCGACGGTTTCGAGCGGGGTTTCGGCAAATCTGACCCAGGATAAAGCGTGCTGCAACTGCGGTGATCATATTCGCGGTGTGTGTGATTTTGCCTTTATGCGCTGTTTTCGGGGGTTGGGCCAAGTTCTCTAATACAAGTGGGGGGGGGGGTCGTGCTTCCGCAACCCCGTCCTCGCCACGATTTTCACTGGGGTCTCGACCCGGGCTCCATCTTTAACCATGAGTAGGCGTCCCTGTACCAATCTCGTATTACATAGTGGCTCGCTAAATTCTTATGGCTTTTTTTGTGGGGGGGTTCTCATTTTTCTTTTCTTCGGTCTCATTTTGTTTTACCCAAATCGCGGCTCTGTCTATCAGGGGACAGGGAAGTGAGGGCGATTGAACAGACTTCTAGTCTAGCCAAGACGAGGGCAGGGCGGTTGAGAGGGGTCCTGGGAGAAGGACCGGTATGGTTTTACCAGCCGGGCGATTGCTCTCCTGTCTAGGAATTACTCCTAGTCATAACCTACACGTGTGTTTTGAAACGCCTGTTTCACTCATGTCCCGCTTTGTGAAGGCAGAGCAATGAAGCACAGACAGATCTGTTTTGAAGTTTTTGGACATAATTTTGATCAGCATAAGAGAGGTCATTCATTCTTCGTTGCAAGCGTGCAAAAGAAAAGCAGTGAAGCGAGGATTCCCGTCAAGCTGCCTTTAAGCACTGCACACGATTGTTTTTGCAGTCGTTCAAATAATGTTCAGAAGTCAGATGTGACGCATGGTCAATGAATATTACAGGGGATCGGCCGTACTCGAATTGTTGATAGAAGAAAGGTATTACCAGTAAAAAACAAGTGAAAAGGATGCCCAGTTAGTAAATAAATGGAAGGTCATGCCATTAACTGTAGCTCGGAGATCGGATGACTATGATCCGTCTTGGTCTGCTGCTGCGCTCGAAAAGCGCGATTCTTCTACCGATATGGCTTATTTTTTACTTCAGTGTTCGAAGGCGGATTATTACGAAGAAATTATGACAAGCTTGGATGTAATGTAGGAGGGGTTGACTTCTTCTATCTTGGGGTGCACCGCTCAAGAAAATCCCAAATTATTTCCGCTTTGACGATATTCGACGCTAGATCAGCATCGAGGGCGCAATCACAACCTTCGCTATCGTTTCGCCTGTGTGGGTATAGTTGCTGTGCCCTGTGCATCACTCGGTGCAGTGGCTCGCTTACGCCTTGTGAGTGGTGCTTTTTTAAAGCAAAATCCAGGAACGAATTCGCGGGTAAGGACCACCTATAATGACGTTGCAGGTGAGAAGTTGGTCAATGGAGAAAGAAAAAGTAGAAAAAAACGTCGGGCAGGGGCTTAGACAGGGACTCCCCCTGCCGTTTAGGGAGACGTGTGTTGGACGAGTTGTCCGAACCTGCCCGTAGTACATGCGCTCCAGTTGACTGCTGGCAAATAGCCATGCATGCTTGCAAATACATAACTATTTGCCAGCAATCGAAATTGAAGCGCTTCAATTGCGTTCTTATGGAATCGACCTCATACAGCGCGGCGGTCCCGCAACGACCGCTAGTCGAGCACGCGCTCTGCACAGCGTATGTTGGGCGATCCGCCTCGGTATGGGTGATCCGCCCCCTCCAAGAGGACTTCGACCCCTTCCAGCGCATTTTAGAGGTAGGTTTTGAACTTAAAGACATTTCCTATAAACTTTAGTTGGGCTGGGGCATGTTTTGACCGCCTAATGACCAAGTAGTTGAAACCCTGCGGAGCTGGCTGTTGCTTTAGCATGCACTCCCCGCTTTCACCGCGGTTTATTTATCGAGTGGATGGCGCGTCTATGCGAGTTAGGCTATTATACATGATATATAAAGCATGGATCAATGCTCCGAACCCAATACCGGTGATCGGGCAATCTCGGATGCTGGTAGTCCGACTTGAACAATATGTGTATTTAGAATTTGGTGAGGTCGCTACATATGGAGCTCGATTTGCCAAGAACGCGCGACGTGGTGATTAACGTGCAGAGCGTCATTTCGATGGCTTAAAGATTGTTATGGTATGTTTGTCTTTAAGGCACGCCAGGCAGAGTTCGTGTGAATGCTTCCCTTCGGTCTGTAGTATGGACCTCTCAATCACAAATGTGCCGTTCCCGTGCACGGAAACCCGCCGGCAAGAGCGCTGAGGGCCTCGCAAAGTAAGCTGCCCAAGCTGCAGATTTTTTTCTTATCAGGCTGTTGTCTGGCGCTCTCTCATCTGTAGCGCTCTCTCGCCTCATACTCTCCTCTCCGCGCTTAGTCTCTCATTCCCTTAGCACAGCCGATTAGGAAGGTGAGTGAGCCCTTAACCTAAGCGTTTTCGACGGATTCTTTTCCTTTTTTCTTTACTGCCGGCCCATTTCGCACCAATACATTCGCATTCGTGTGCAAGAGCCACACCAATGTGATCCTGGGCATGGTTTTAAAATGTCCTGAATCCGAATCAGTTCCAAACACGAGGAAAAACGCTACGCACCCGTTGGTAGTAATTAGCATATTGTTTTGCACTTCCGATAATGTATACAGGCAGCTTTGAAACACTCAAAAATGCCAAATAAATGACGAAAAACGAGTCGCCTCTAAGTGAAAGTGTGGCCCACCGGCGGGCCACACGGTCGTCAAAGGGTTAATAGTGCAAAGCCGCTCACATCTCCCATCTACATTTCAGAAGTATCAAACTTAGAGGACTTCGAGATTTTGCTGTCGGAACCCCAAATTGTTAAAGCTAGGTCTCTACCTCTTCTGGACTTGCATGAACACTCATTCCACATCACCAGTAAGCATGCTGGATGATCATTGGAAAGGGCTTTGGGAAGACCAGAAAGAACATGACTATGACAGAGGGTGCGTAGCGTTTCTCCTCCTGGGGTCAGGTCACCTAAAATTGAGACGCCGTTCATTCGCTCGGAGCAAGCTTAGGACTAAGCCTAGGCCCAATCATAGGCTTAGGCATAAGCCAATGTGTAAGCATAAGCCTTAACCTAAGTCTAAACCCAAACTTAACCTTAAGCTTCAATGATCGCGCAACTGTGGTGACCTGACTCCAGAAGGAGAAACGCACGTCTCCCTCAGTCGACACCCGAAAATTGCGGTTTCAGTGAGGAGACAAATGTCGGCACTGGCGACGTGGTGAATTTGAAGCCGCACAATACAAAGCCTGTTTGTTCGGAAGTCGATAGTACCCATTCTGCAGGAAAAGTTCATTATTAATTGTAGACTGTTGGCATAACCGACATCTCATCGCTCTTCGATCCAGGGT